TACTTATATGTTATATCAATGATATTGTTAGAAGTTTTCCACATTCTGCTGGATCACCTCTCTTTGAAATATGCATAAATTTGGATCTTTTCCAATCTATCGGCCAGGTGGCTATTTTCCAAATTTCTTGGCATAGATGAATGAGTACCTCCTATGCTGTATCAGTTTATTGAAACATTTCTATTTCAATTCCTGGAGCACTAATTTCAATTCCTGGAGCACTGTTCTTCACCAATACTTTCTATGCAACTTGAACTTCTTCCTTCAGTACCATTGGTTCGTGATCATATGCTACCTCTTGAAATGGTTTAACACTGACCATGTCTTTTTGGTACAGTCACTCTGTGTATTCCTTCTAAAGACATCTTCTTTTGATGCTTTGTGCATCATTCGATATTTTGCCCTTAGAATTCTTCAATATATGCAAGTAAGGCCTGAATTTTTTCTTCAGTTCTTTCAATTTGAGAAATGCTGAGTGTGTTCTTCCCTTTTGATATTCTAACTCCAAGCCATTGCACATTCTATTATAATATTTAACTTTGCCTTTTCAAGCTACTCTTGGAAATGTTCTGTTCAGCTCTTTTACTTCCTCATTTCTTCCATCTCTATGCTGGAGAGCAAGTCTCAGAGTTTCTTCTGACATCCATTTTGGTCTTTTCTTTTCTTTTCTGTCTTTTCAATGACCTTTTTACTTTCTTCTTGAATAATGTTCTTGATGTCATCCCACAACTCTTCTGGTCTTTAGTCTTTGGTCATTAGTGTCTAATGCATCTTATCTGTACTGAGATGGTCTCTAAATACTGGTAGGATATGTTCAAGGTCATATTTTGGCTCTCTCATGGACTTGTTTTAATTTTCTTCAGCTTCAGCTTGAACTTGCATATGAAGAATTGATGATCCATTCCACAGTTGACCACTGGCCTTGTTTTAACTGATAATATTGATCTTTTCTATTTTCTCTTCCCAAAGATGTAGTCGGTTTGACTTTGGTATATTTCATCTTGTGAGAAACAAGAAGTTATTTTTTTCAGATGATTGAAGAGAGGAAAATTTTTTTATATATCTCTAGTGGTGCAAAATCAAAGAGCCTCCTAAAATATATCTTAGGCATAGTCTTATGTCTCTATTTTGTCATACTGTGAAAAACTCCCATCAGTATGCCTTCTAAATATTGTATTCCATTTTTTATAAAAACTCATTGCTGTCGAATTCATTCTGACTTAAAATAGAACTGCGCCATAAGATTTCCAAAACTGTAACCTTCATGGAAGCAAACTGACACACCTTTCTACCAAAAAGGACTGGTGAGTTTCAACTGCCAACTTTCAGATTGGCAGTGTAACACTTAACCATTATGCCACCAGGATTCTGTTTTTTATAAAATAAACCCCAAAATAAATAAATCAGAAAGCTTCTGGGCAATATCTTTCAATTTAAGCATAAGGTCACTATGGGTCGGTACTGACTCGATGGTACCTAACAACAACAATAGCTATATAAAATGATGTGTTTTACTTAGCTTCTTTCTAATTCCTCCCACTCTAGGAAAGGACTATGCACTAGTTTCTCCCTGACTCCTCCTCCCCTCTCTCCATTTATCCATCTCCACACCATTTCGTAGACCATGGTTCTAGGTACCTGTGTGCTGTTTAGTTCAGTTGTAAGCCTGGTATGGTGCTGTGAGTTATTGCTCTGGACTGCAAGGTTGGTTTGAACCACAAGGTCGGTGGTTCAAGCTCACCAGCCGGTTCTCAGAAACCCTATACAGGGTCACTATAAGTTGAAACCAATTTGATGGCACTTACCAACAACAACACTAAACCTATGCTTCTCTAAACACTTGCATTCCCGGTGCATGGAAAGACACCTGACTGGACCAACTCATGGAATTTGAGTAAGCTTTTTCTCTTTTTACTTATTTTTCAAGTGTCACAAGAATCAGTTTAGGGGACCAGAGTAAGCTGGTTACAGAAAGATACATTTGGTTTCTCAGCCTAATTGATGTAAACTAGTAAATGGACTCCTGGTGTGGTGCTGTAGGATAAGCACTGGATTACAAGGCCAGTTTGAACTGCAGTGGTCAGTGGTTCAAATCCATCAGCCTCTCCTCGGTAACCCTGTACAGGGTTGCTATGAATCACAACCAACTTGATGTCACAAAACAACAACAACAAAGTAAATGGAGAAGGATGAGGCATTCTGCTCCCGTAAAGATTAACAGCCTCGGAAACCCTGTACAGTGTCACTATGAGTCAGAACCAACTCCATGGCACATAACCACCACCACCATATAAGAGAAAAAGGCCAGGAAAGTTGTACAGAGACATTTTTCCTATCAGGATGAATGCACCTGCTCATACTTAGAGGCTAGCAAGGGCTATCCTTTGAGAATTTCATTGGAAAGCCTTCCCCACTACTCTACAGTCCTGCTCTTGCCCCAAAAGAGTTCTTTGTTCCCCAAACTCAAAGAACAATCAAAAGGAACACAATTTGAAGGTGCCAAAAGTGCTGTTTGATGTGGTGCAAACTGAAGAGCCAAGGATTCTTTGTAGAAGGGTTAGAGTTAACTCCAAACCCCTGTCATCAAGTGGATTCCTACTCACAGTGACACTACAGGAAGAGTAGAACTTTGCCATAGAGTTTCTGAGGCTGTAAATGTTTATGGAAGTACACTACCTCATCTTTCTCCAGGGAGTAGCCCAAGGCTTAACCTGCTGTGCCACCAGGGCCTCTATGGGGAGATGTTGTTGTTGTTAAGTACCATTGAGTTGGTTCCAACTCATAGTGAGTTTCCGAGGAGCAGCTGATGAGTTTGAAATGTCGACCTATGGTTCAAACTGCCCTTGCCACCTAGAGCTTATCCTATATCATCACCCCAGGGGTTCTGTGGGGAAGGGTTGTTGTTAAGTCGTTTTGAGTTGATTCCAACTCATAGCGAACCTGTATAGGGTTTCCTCTGAGTGTCTGGTGAATTTGAACCACCGATCTTGTGGTTCAAACCAACCTTGCAGACCAGTGCTTCTCCAGCAGTGCCACATCAGGACCCCATGGAGGATATGTTGAGAAATGATAGCTTTACATTTTGATATTTTTAATAAAACTTTCTTTGACTTGGTTGTTGTTGTTGTTAAGTACCGTGGAGTCAGTGCCAACTCATAGTGACCCTGCACAGGGTTTCAAATTAGCAATACTTTGTTTTACTTATAAGGGGACTTCAAAAAGTCCTGGAAATTTTCCATTATCTTTTAATTGCATTTTCCACGAACTTTTTGAAGCCCCCTCATACATGCAACACACACACACACATTCACACAAGAGTGGAGCTTCAAAAAGTTCATGGAAAATGGAATAAAATGATAATAAAATTTTTCCACAAAATTAAATATATATATATTTATATATATCATGCATACACATATACACACATTCTGGTTATATAGTGTTTGTAATTATTCTTAATTCCAGAATAAACTTTAAAAGAAAAACAAAGAACTTGCAACTCAGTAGAATAAATGCCAAACAAACTCAAATTCCTTGCCATTGAGACCAATTTGGCTCACAGCGACTTTATAGGACAGAGTGGAATTGCTCTGTAAGGTTCCAAGGCTGTAATATTTATGGAAGCAGACATTTTTTTCCCAGAGACAAACTGTTATCAGGTTTGAACCCCAAACTTCTTTTGGGTTCACAGCCTCCAATCATCCAGTTAGCCATGGAATTACCAGAATTACCAGAACTTCAAAACTTTTCCACGGCATACCTGTTACTGTCACTTGGAATTTTTTTAAAGGTTAGACTTCCAATATAAGGTTTTATGTTAGTTATTATTTTCAACCATTGTATGTTGTTGTTGTTAAGTGCCACGGAGTCAGTTCTGACTGATAGCGACCTTGTATAGGATTTCCTAGGAATGGCTGGTGGGTTTGAATTGCTGACCTTGCAACTAACAGCCCAGTGTTTATCCTACAGTGCCACACCAGGACTCCAACTATTGTATAGCAAATATGAAAACCACCAACATATATGTTATTGGGCATAACAAGTGAATGCATAAACAATGCCCTCAAGATTTATTGTTGTTGTTGTTGTTAAATGCAGTAGAATCAGCTCTGACTCACAGCAACCCTATATAAGGTTTCTAAGGAGTGCCTGGTGGATTTGAACCGCCAACCTTCCAGTCCAGGGCATTAACCTGCAGCGCCACACCAGGACTCTGCCTGGAAGATGTTGTTATTAAGTGCCTTCGAGTTGAATCAGAATCTTAGCAACCCTATATTAGGGTTTCCGAGAGAAGCGGCGGGTGAATTTAAACCCCCGACCTTGATGTTCAAACCGACCTTGTGGTCCTGTGCTTAATCTCATAGCGCCACAGCAGGACAGTAACTCTCAAAAATGCTAATTAATGAATGAATGTTTAAAATTCGAACTTATAAATCAAAAGCCAACAGAGCCTCTATCTGTCACCTCAAAACTATCACGTCAAATCAATGAAAGGTAGGAAGAGGAAGCATTTGTTTTATTGATGTGTGCTAGTAAGTAGCTAATGAAGTTTTCAGTCCCACAAAATTAGGAAAGATTGTTTACCAGACAACCACTAAAGACTATTTCTTATTACCTTTGTTATTCCCATATAAAAAATTAAGCAGAGCTATTGTTTAAGCACAGGGGGCAGTCCCCAATGAGGCAATATCCTGTTTGAATAATTTAGGCTGGGCATAGGCCGGCTCACACCGTGCCTTTGTATGAAACATCAACCTCACTCAGTCGTATCCTTTTCCTGTATCTAGGGCCCGCTGCCTATTTTTTAAATCCCCTTCTTACAGTCAGAGTAGAAAGTAAATAAACACACACCCCCACACACAAACAGGAGGCTAAAGATATTGAGACTTGTTAGGCAAATGTTTTCACCTGCTTAGCCAATTAGCTTCCTCTCCTAGGAAGACTAGTTAAACAGGTTTCCTTTTTCTAGTCTTCTGCCTCCTGGGTTGGGGAAAGACGCTGTCACTTCACTTCGGCCCTCCCCTTCCCTCCCTCTGGGCTCTTCCACACTCAGTCCGACCAATAGCGCCAGTTCGAACGTGTCCAGGTTGGCGGCCCAAACAGCTGGCCGGAGCCTGGATGCGCCGAGTGGAGGAGGGCGCTGGGGAGGGTGCCGCGCGGCTTGCTTGGTCTGCGCCGGGACCCGAGAGCCCGAAGGAGGAGGAGACTGGAAGAGCGCGGAGGTCTGAAGGTGCCCTCCAGACACGGCCCTAATGACTGAACTACAGCAAGATGTGGAAGACACAAAACCTTCAAAAGTTCTCGGGAAAAGAGAGAGCAAAGTTGGCTCGACCCAGTAAGTATTCTCTGCTGGGTCCCATCAGGGCGGTAGAAAGCGCGTTTCCCCAAATTTCTCTGACAGTGGACGAATTTTGTTGTCTAAACGGTTTCTGGAACTTTATAGACAACCTTGTGGCTTTAACTCTTTCTGTGGCCGTATCGCCTTCAGTAAAGACACCAGCAGCGTTTCAGGAATGCTCTGTAGCTTGCTGTCCGGTGGGGATGTGAAGTATTTCAGCCGAAAGCATAATTAGTGTTTTATAATCCCCAGGGAGATCTGGGGAAACTATTCAGATCTCTGGTCCATGACAAGAAACAGATCACTACAATTTATTTCAGCCATCCTTATTGGCCTGTGTGGCGATTCCGTTGTCCTGTTGATGCCATCTGGTTATTAGCTTCAGTATGCTAGGAAGTGTCTTTCCCCCCATCCCCTTCACTCACTCTTTCGCCCAGACTAGTTTGCCTTTGGTGAGATAGTTAACAGAAACTTGTTACACATTTTCTTTTTTAAAGAGAGGGAGGTGTAGGGACAGGGGATAGGATAGGGGGTAGCACGATGAATATACAGATAAAATAAAACACTCCCAGTATTGCTTTGTGACTAATACAGTTGGAGGATTTGCACATTTTTTAACCTAGAAACAAACCCTCCTGGTAAAAGCAAATGGGAAATAAAATATTTTGATCATAAGAATTAGCTTCCTATAGGATAATAAGCATCAGACAGCAAGGTCAGTTTGAAGTTTGAACTGCAAGGTGGGTGATTCAAAGGCACTAGCTGTTCCTCGAAAACTCTGTATAGGGTCACTAAGAGTCGTAACTGACTCGATGACGCTTAACAGCTACAACAATGAAACTTATTTATCTTCTACGTTAAGGGATGTGGTTCTATAGGATATGCGCTGGACTGTGAACCACAAGGTCAGTGGTTTGAGCCCACCAGCTGCTTTCCGGGAGAAAGATGACGTTTTCTTCTGCCTTGAAAACCCTATACAGATGGCTATGAATTGGAACCAACTTGAAGGCACTTAACAACATATGACATTAAGGCTGGTTTGGTTTAGTTTTTAATCCAGATATATGATTATTACATTATTGTTATTCCCAAACATTCTTGTTTTAAAATGGTAAAGAATTGGTATCTGCTTATTTACTATTTATTATAATATATCATTATAGTAGGGAGTTCCAGATAAATATCTAAATAAACCCAATTTTATTTTTTGTAGTACCAATTTTGGGGGAGGGTACTTAAATACATTATTGATTTGTTATTGATGTCGTTAACTGCCCTGAGCCAGTTTGACTCATAGAAAACTGTCTAGGATTTCATAGGGATGGCTGGTGGGTTTCAACCACTGACCTTGTGGTTAGCAGTTCAGTGCTTATCCTACAGCACCATACCAAGACATTATTGATAGTAGTATGAGGATATGACTTATTATTTTAATGGCAAAGAATTAAATTTCTCCTTTGCTCATTATTTCAGTATTTACTTTTTTTTTTTTTTTTTTTAACATCATAGCCTGGTTCCACAAAAAAAGGATTGTGAGTACAAATGTATATCCATCTAAGCATCTGTTGAAGTTTGGGCTACAGTTTTAGAGAGTTTTATTAGCCACTTTGATTTGGTGTTTCCAATGTTCCAGCAATATGCCTTTCTAGTATCTCTACTTCGCTTGGTTATTCTTTCCTTTGCCTTCCATCATTGTCCACTTATTCTGACGCTCTTTATTCTTTTTGATAGATATAACATGATTAAGGCAAAATTGCTATAGGTATACCCCCACAAAACATTCTTGTTTTCTCAACCAAGAGTAAAATCCTGACTCCGTACTACAAATAGTTCAAATGCACAGAAAGATGAACTATCCAGTAACATTTGACATTTCCTTTTCACTTCATCATTCTCTTATTTCTCTGGAGGATCACGAGTAAGCAAGGTGGCTTATCACCGTTTTATAGATATTGGAGGTAACAGGAATATCCAGTGTCAGGGGCAAGATTAGAACCTAGGACTTTAAACCCCAAGTCCAGCACTCATTAAAACTCAATGTTTGAGTTACACGTATCAAAGTGATTCCAGCCTTCCCAATAGCTACCAAGTTTTGAAATTTTCACATTCCCAGTCATCTAAATATTCAAGGTGATTTTGATTGACTGAAAAAGTCTATGTAGCATTTAGATTAATTTCCTTAACTAAAAATTCTTTAGCTTTGGCAAAAAAAAAAAAAAGCCAAATCGTATTGAAACTCAAAGGTCCTAACACAGCTCTTCATTTAAACCAACGAGTTCAGCAAATATTGGAATGTCTACTGTTTGTTAAATAATGATAGGAAATCAAGGCACAAGGTAACTCGGAATCTATCCTGGAACCCCCAAAGCAGTTTTGGGGATAGAGGGTAGTAGGCATATATGTGTATTATACCTGAAGGGACAATGTAACGAATGCAACACTGAATACAGACAAGCACCATAACATTTTTCCTATAGCTATAATTCTCTACAGTTATCATGTTTGTCATGTATTTGGTAATGGGGGGAAGAATTTTGTTTGTTTTTACCTACAAGTGTTGTTTCCTAAGCAGATTCAGATCACTCTTATTCAACTTAAGAGTTTACACATTGTCTACTTGTGATCGCTTATCCCTTATTTTAATATCAGAATAATAATAATTTTAGGAGGAAAGAAGATAAATTATCACATTGATATACTGCTATGACAATTCTAATAGTTGAAACAAAATTTGCCAAAGTTTTACACATAAGCCCCAGTCTATTCTCTGTTTTGAACTTTGTAATTTATATTATCACTCAGCTCAAAGTCTTGTTGAAGTCCAGGTTTCCCAATGGACAGTTTTCTCTAAGAGTATTACTACGGAGCTCCAACAGTTCATGGAAAAATAGAATTGAAAACTAATGGAATTTTTACATGAACCTTTTGAAGCCCCCTCACAGAACGACTGTCTCCTCCATTTCCCTTCATCTCTAGCTACACTCACAGAGGCTTCATCACCTAGGACCCACCTCTCTAGGCAATTGTTGTGTTGTTGTTATGTGCTGACTCATATAGACCCTATGTACAACAGAATGAAACACTGTCCAGTCCTGAGCCAGCCTCACAATTGTTACTGTGTTTGAGCCCATAACTATGTCCGTCCATCTCATTGAGAATCTTTCTCTTTTTGCTGACTCTCTATAAGACATGATATCCTTCTCTAAGAATTGGTCCCTCCTAAGAGTGTGTCCGAAGTATGTGACACAAAACCTCCTTTTCCTCACTATACTTTTTGCAACACAGATTTGTTTGTCCTTCTGACAGTCCGTGGTATTTTCAGTATTCTTCACCAACAACGTGATTCAAATGCATCATCAATTCTTCTTCAGTCTTCCTTATTTATTGTCCAGCTTTCACATGCAAAATATCATGGCTTGGGTCAGGAGTACCTTAGTCCTCAAAGCAACTTTAAAGAGGTCTTGTGCAGCAGATTATCTAAGTGCAGTAAGTTGTTTGATTTCTTGACTGTGGCTTCCATGAGCATTGATTGTAGATCCCAGTAAAATGAAATTCTTGACAATTTCAATCTTTTCTCCTTTTATCATGATGTTACTTATTGGTTCAGTTGTGAGGATTTTTTTTTTTAACTTAAAGTTGTAATCCATACTGAAGGCTGTAGTCTATGATCTCCATCAGTTAGTGATTTAACTCCTCTTCCCTTTCAGCAAGCAAGGTTGTATCGTCTGCATATCACAGGTTGTTAATGAGCCTTCCTCCAATCCTGCAGATTGAATAAGTATGGTGAGAGGCTACAACCCTGATGCACACCTTTTCTGATTTTAAACTATTCGGTATTCTCTTGTTCTGTTCAAACAACTGCCTCTTGTTCTGTGTACAGGGTCGGCATTAGCACAGTCAAAAGTGTTCTGGACTTTCCATTCTTTGCACTGTTATCTGTCTATAGTCTGTTATGATCCGAACAGTCGAATGCCTTTGCATAGTCAATAAAACACAAGTAAACATCTTTCTGGAGTCTAGTGTGGTGCTAAAGGATAATAACTCGGCTGCACAGTCAGATTGAACCACAGGGTTAGAGGTTCAAACTCACAAGCCGCTTTCCGGAAAACTTACACAGTTGCTATGAGTCGAAACTGACTCAACAGCACTTAACAATAAAAAAACGTCTTTCTGATATTCTCTGCCTTTAGCATTTATTGAAAACACTTGTTTTGTGACAGGCAGATTCACTTTATGTGCATTTTCTCATTGACTGATGTAGGTGCCATAGTGAGCTCCACTTTTACAGGTAGCATTGAAGCTCTGAGAAGTTTACAACTGGGCAGAGTCTCACAGTTAATAAGAGAGCAGCCCAAATCAAGCCCAAGTCTCCTAACTAATGCCTGAACTTGGAACCACTGCACTATAATTTAGCCCTATTGCTCTGCTCAAGAATCTATGATAGCCCTCCATGGCCTACTCTAAAATACAGGCTCTTCTGCCAGGCTTTCAAGTCCCTAATGATCTGGCCATACATAAAATAGTCCAACCTCATTTTCTAATACTAGCCAATATGCGCATTTTGAATAGCCCAACAATCATACTAGCATCCCTATACTTAAGAGGTAGTATGTATAAAGAACCAGTATCCTAAATGTCAGACACCTAGGTGACACAATGGTTAAGCATTCCTGACAATCTGCTTCCTAAAGACTACAGCCTAGGAAACCCAATGGGGCAGTTTTATTCTGTCCAGTGAGTCAGAATCAATTCGAAGGCATACAGCAGCAAGCTAAAGATAGTAATGAATGGTAAGCTCTCTTCTCTCTTCCTCCATCCTTTTCCCCACCTCTTTCCTCTTCTTTTCCCTTCTCTGTTGTCTTCACCTCTATTCCTTAGTTCCCTCTCTCCATTCTCTTAATGTTGTTGTTGTTGTTAAGTGCCATCAAGTCGATTCCGACCCATAGCAACCCTGTACAGGGTTTCCGAGGCTGTAAATCTTTATGGGAACAGAACGC